CCTCACCGGCGGGAGTGTTTTCTGAAATAAATAAAATCTGTTTAAGTGGCGAAACAAAGACGGTAACCGTCACTGGTGTGAGCTCGGGGTCAGAGAGCTTTACTGGTGTGAGGCTGGTGTTTCCGGTGCGGAGCTGCTGGTCCTTCTCCTTCATCTCTTCCTCCCAGGAGTCCAGATCCTTCATGAAGCTCTGCAGGTCTTCTGCGTTCTGCCGCATCTGAATCTGCAGCTCCACGGCTTTATTCCCCGACATCACGACCCTCGCCGGACGCGCTCCGACCGCATCAGACCAACAGAGACGCCCTGCAACAGTTCATCACGATTACACACGCTCCTCCTCATGCCCAGCTCACGCCTCAGCTCTGTCTGGCTCCCACTACATGTCTTCTGTCAGACTACTGATATATATATATGTGTGTGTGCATGTACAGTCAGCAACATCTGAAGTGGATCAAAACCTTTCATCAAAGTTATACATGAATTCTTACGACAAACTCTGATGAACTGTTTTGATCCACTTCAAATTTTGACTATTAAATCCAATTCACGTTTATTTGTATGACGCTTTTCACAATACACATCATTTCAAGGCAGCTTTACAGAGACGGCATGAGTCCGTTTACAGTGTTCTGTTATCAGAGTTGTGCATTTCAGAAATGTACATATACAAAGTCACAGTTAGATAAAAATGTATTAATTTAAACAATGTAGTAATTGAATGCAGAAACAATGAGCTCACTGAAGTAATGACTACTATATATAAATTATGAATTTAACATGTTCTGAAGAAAACTGGATGTTTCTCGATGTTTAGTATGTGTGAGCAACAGCAATAGTGATGATTGCATTACCACGATAATATTCGCTGATTTTACAGTGAAAACAACAAATGTATGTACTATGGTATGTTGTCGGAAGCCACGGTTACCATGGTAACTGTTGAGAAGGAAACTGACAACAACGTGGCCCTGAAAAAGACCCTTGACCACAGATTAAAACGCGATTCGTCGAGAAATTATGGATCCAAATAAACTATATCATAACCTTCATAAATCAGACATTCCAGAACATTCGCTGTGTGTAAAGTACATCTACACATATACACACATAAACAGAGATATGTTACAGTAAAACACGGGTTAATGTCATGTTAACACGCATGTAAAATGTTTACTGGCCAAGTTAACTATAAACGTTTCATAAACGCCCGTGTAGAGAAGCTCATCCGAAATAGATCGGTTTAAAATAACCCTTTAACAGCAGTAAAGAGCAGAGCCAGATGTGCGTGTCCTACCTGTGCCGATGATGATGATGATAATGAAGAGTTTTGATCAATAGTTTGTGTTCAGCGCCATGACATCGCAAACTCCTCCTCTATGCGCATGCGCGAACAAACAAACGTCTAACGTACGGGCTCGCGCTGCTCGCGCTTGCTGTTGGCGCCGACAAAAAGCAACAGTAAAGTTCCGGAAGTAAAAACTTTCTCCATAAGGAAAAATAAATAAATAAATTCTACATAAGAAAATTGAGGTTAACTATACCTTTTAAACCTTTAAAAAGACAACCTTACGGTGAGCCACAAGGTTGATAATCAATGGTATTTGCTTCTGTTGAAACCGTCAGCCCACATTATTTCAACTTCGTATATATGTTTCAATATATATATATATATATATATATATATATATATATATATATATATATATATATATATATAAACAATAAAAAGTTGTTTATAATAAACATATTTCATATATTTTCCGACATATATAATTATATATAGTGATATTGATTCTATATTCACTCATATATTTTTATACTATACGTGACTGTGGAGTTATAATCATTATTGCGTTTGTCGTTTGATTTGGGGGCTTTTATTTTGAAAACACAAAAACACACACTTGACTGCATCTTATTTTGAGAGCACGCGTGATATGCGGGACATCTCACTGCGAAACGAAAACAAAAATAATAAAAAGTCTACACTAAATAGCTTAAGCGAAATCAAACAGCGTAAATAACTAAAATACTTTAATCCTCGCTTTCAATCACGTGACTCAGAGACGCTCGCGTGACCTTCGCGTACACGCGCAGCGCCAAGCAATGGCTGAGAGTGGCGCTAAAGAAGATAAAGAGCGCGAGAGTGACGCGAAGGACGAGAACTATGGCTATAGTCTATATCCCGAGCGAAGCGGCGGCAAGTACAAGCAGGGCTCGATCGGGGAGAGCCTCTTCACCTTCAAGCACAAGTGTCACATCATGCTGCAGTTCGCCATGGACACTAGTAAGGGCACATCAGCGCCTGTGCGCGTGCACGCGGCGCTCGCTCACCTGCTTCAGATGTTGTTTCTGGGGTTTATGATCGAACAACAATATTCATGTCATGTTTAAGATCAACTATATGCTGTATGGAAGCCACATGAGAATCACATTAGAATTATGATAGTAATTTCTTTTTAGATTAAGCCTAAAATGTATGAGAGAAAAAGTCCTAATTTCCACGTGATCTTGATTTTGTCTGTTTATCTCGTATTGTTCATCTCATTATTTTGAACAATTATTTCATTTCTGTTTTAATCTCATAGTCAAAATTTCAACTTTTTGTCTCATAATCTTTTTTACTTTATCATAATTATTACTGTCATAATTCTGTTTTTTTGTCATTTTGACTTTAATTTCATAATGGCTTGGTATTTTAAAAAAATCAACATTTTAATAATGAGTTTGACTTTTTATCACATAATTATGGCTAATGTCATTTCTATTTTTATCTCATAATTAGTGTCATAATTTTGACTTTTATATCATAATTATTATTGTCATAATTTTGACTTTTTTTATTTCATAATGACTTGGTATGTTATAATTTTGACTTTTTAATCATGAGTTTAACTTTTTATCTCATAATTATATCTCATTATGTCTCAGGCCCGTATGCTAAGCTCCTGCTGGCCGCGATGAGAAGCTCCGGCTGGTAAGGGCATCTTCATCATCATGTTCATCATCATCATCCTCTTCTTCATCACATGACTGATGTGTGTGTCTTTCCTCAGTGCGGTTCATAAAGACCGGCACTTCTCGTGTGAGGACTGTGACGGGACGGTTAGTGGCGGGTTCGACGCCGCCACCTCTCAGGTGTGTGTGAGGAAGCTGTGTGAGCCGAACACACACGTGCTGGTGTGTGTCTGACCGTGTGTGTGTGTGTGCAGATCGTCCTGTGCCAGAACAACATCCACCAGCAGGCTCACATGAACCGCGTGGTCACGCACGAGCTAATCCACGCCTTCGACCACTGCCGCGCGCGAGTCGACTGGTTCAGCAACCCCAGACACCTGGCCTGCTCAGAGGTGTGTGTGTGTGTGTGTGTGTGGTTACTGTCCTCTCCTGCACACCTGGCCTGCTCAGAGGTGTGTGTGTGTGTGTGTCTGTGTGGTTACTGTCCTCTCCTGCACACCTGGCCTGCTCAGAGGTGTGTGTGTGTGTGTGTGTGGTTACTGTCCTCTCCTGCACACCTGGCCTGCTCAGAGGTGTGTGTGTGTGTGTGTGTGTGTGGTTACTGTCCTCTCCTGCACACCTGGCCTGCTCAGAGGTGTGTGTGTGTGTGTGTGTGGTTACTGTCCTCTCCTGCACACCTGGCCTGCTCAGAGGTGTGTGTGTGTGTGTGTGGTTACTGTCCTCTCCTGCACACCTGGCCTGCTCAGAGGTGTGTGTGTGTGTGTGTGGTTACTGTCCTCTCCTGCACACCTGGCCTGCTCAGAGGTGTGTGTGTGTGTGTGTGGTTACTGTCCTCTCCTGCACACCTGGCCTGCTCAGAGGTGTGTGTGTGTGTGTGTGGTTACTGTCCTCTCCTGCACACCTGGCCTGCTCAGAGGTGTGTGTGTGTGTGTGTGTGGTTACTGTCCTCTCCTGCACACCTGGCCTGCTCAGAGGTGTGTGTGTGTGTGTGTGTGTGTTCACTGTCACTCTTGGTCATTTTTGAGCGAAACATTTTTAATTTGTTTTTTTGTTTTCTTTTTCTACTTTATCGGAATGGTCTGAAACTCGGTCCAGGTTTTGTCACTTGCACACACACACACACACACATAAATCATGGCCATGTTCTGAACAGGTTTAATGGTCCTGTAACAATATTCACACTTGAGCTCCTCGCGGTCAGAAATGGCGCACTGGAAATGAAGAGAGAGTTTCCTCTAGTGGAAGCGTTTGGAACTGCAGCCGAACAACATCTCACTGGAAGATCATTCACTGAGAGATCAGCCTCACACGCGGAGACCCCGCTGGACACGCTAGCCTCGCATCCACTCAGCTTTACAGGAAAACGCGGTTTTGAAAACATATATTTCATATAAAAATTGAAAATAGTATTTTTGTGCATTTTTCATAACAATAAACGTCAAATTCTGTTCATTTTAAAATTTACTTTTTAAAACGTTTCTCACTTCAGCAATAATCTGCCGAGTGTGTGTTTGAGAAGAGATCAAACTTCAGTCTGTCCTCTAAAGCGTTCAAGATTCACCAGTTTCAGTCGTAATGCTCAAAAAGTGAATAAATGGATTATAAATACAGCGTAAATATAATTTAGTGCCATACAATCCCCTAAAAATACTAAATATTAAATAAAAACCATTATCAAACTAAAATATAGTACATTAATTTCATTGAAAATAAAACACAAAAAAAAACACAAAGAGGACCAGAGGGTTAAAACGTGTGTGTGTGTGTGTGTGTGTTCACTCTCGCTCCTGCAGATCCGGGCCGCCAATCTGAGCGGAGACTGTTCCTTCCTCAACGAGGTCTCCAGATTCAACTTCGGCCTCAGAGAACACCATCAGGTAACTCAGAGTATCAGTCATGTGACTGAGTCCAGAAGGGTCATGTGACCGTCTCTAAAGGTCATGTGACTGTGTGTGTGTGTGCAGGAGTGTGTGCGGAGTCGAGCGCTGCGCTCCATCCTGGCGGTGCGTAAGGTGAGCAGGGAGGAGGCAGAGCTAGTGGTTGACGAGGTGTTTGACAGCTGCTTCCGAGACCACGCCCCCTTCGGGCGGATCCCACACACCAAGATGGACGCCAGGTTCTCCTTCAGGGACTTCGAGAGCCGCGACCGCTACCATGCTAACCTCTGATCACACGCGTTACCTTCACTGACACACCCACTCGCGTCCAGCTCGCGCCGGCCTCTGTCATCACCGTCACTGCAGCGTATCCGAGCGTCCGTCACCGATGGCCTCCGCTTTCTCCACTCATCTGAGAACATCGGCACATCTGACACTGAGAACCTCACGATTAAAGGATAGTTTCGAATCATTAAGAGTGACTGCAGGTTATTGAGCATGATGAGACAGCAGTGCAGGAGCGTCTCGGATCCACACGGGGGCGCTGCTCTCCACACCAACAGAACCGGCTCCTGGAACAACATCTACGGGACAACAAGAACTAAATATTTAAATGTTAAAATAATGATGGTCATAATGAGATGATAAATTATGCCACATAATTTCCACTTTTGAATTGTGATTTACAAAACCTTTTTTTTTTCTTATGTTGTGGAAATGAATTTATTTTGAAGAGCCAAAACCCACATAAAGCACTTCTAATTACGGGCAGTTTCTCTGTAAAACAATTAAAAGCTCAATAATAAACTCAAGTGAACATGATCAATTATAGTTGATGATAAAATTATTTTCTGATTAGCAACAGAGACTGGAGGGATTATTTACTGTTGACATTTCATCTTTCCCACACCACATGACCACTGAACATTATTAACTGATTAATTAAATGATAATTGTGAGAGGAGTGAGACGTGATGAACACTGTAAACGAGGACCGCACTCGTTTAATCAAACAGAGACTCGAAGCGTCTGCCTGACCCCTGACCCCTGATCAGCGGGAGGTTCATTAGCAGGGAGTCTGACCTCCAGCTCATTACCAGCACAGATGTGGCGGCGGGTCAAAGGTCACGGCTCCTGGCGCCTCTGATCAGTGATCAGGAGTCAGTGAAGTAAACACACTAATGAGGGCACTACACAGACAACAACAGATCACGCTCATTACTGACAGACAATCCTTTGACAACTTTACATGGATGGAGATATATATATATATATATTTATTTTGTTTAAATAAATACGCTAGATAAGATCAATTTATTTCAGCAATAATAACTGGGCATGTAGAAAACTGCTGTTTGATAGTTTATGGAGATTATTAATGTTCCAAACTACTATTGAAAGATGTTTCACAGCATAAAGTTTACAATATTCTATTGTTGTGGACAGATGTGTGTGTGTGTGTGTGTGTGTGTGTGTGTTTAATCGCAGGAAGAGTCTTTCCAACTGGGTGGCGCTAGAGGACCCTTATCATCCTCCGATACAGGCCTTTTTGTTCTGCACAGACACACACACTCCAACACGCTCACATACTCTCACACACACACACACACACACACTCCAACACGCTCACATACTCTCACACACACACTTCAACACTCACACACACACACACACACACACACTCCAACACGCTCACATACTCTCACACACACACACTTCAACACGCTCACATACTCTCTCTCACACACACACACAGTCTCTCTCTCACACACACACACACACACACAGTCTCTCTCTCACACACACACACACACACACACACACAGTCTCTCTCTCACACAAACACACACACTCCAACTTGCTCACATACTCTCTCTCACACACACACACACACACACACACATCAACACGCTCACATACTCTCTCTCACACACACACACACACACAGTCTCTCTCTTACACACACACACACACACACACACACACACAGTCTCTCTCTCACATACACACACACACATACAGTCTCTCTCACACACACACACTCCAACACGCTCACATACACACACACACACACTCCAACTCTCTCACACACACTCACATACTCAAACACAATCCAACACGCTCACATACACACACACACACACACACACACACACACACACACACAATCCAACACGCTCACATACACTCCAACACTCACACACACTCTCACACACACTCACATACTCAAACACAATCCAACACGCTCACATACATACACACACACACACACACACACACAATCCAACACGCTCACATACACACACACACACACACACACACAATCCAACACGCTCACATACACTCAAACACTCACACACACACTCACACACAATCCAACACGCTCACACACACACACACTCCAACATGCTCACATACACACACTTTCCAGTAGTAACGTGTGTAAACTTGTCATATTTCAGAAATCTGTGGCTTTATTCTCACTCACCAGCAGTTCCCCTTCACCCTCTTCTGCGCTGTGATTGGCTGGTCCTCCTGATGGGGGCGGAGTCATCACAGCTCATTAGCTCCAGTTTCTGATCCCAATCAGAGTTATTCTGAGAAGAAAGAAGAACCTTCTGACGGAGAGATTCAGATCAGAGCAGTCTCACACACACTCTCTCTCACACACACACACACACACTCACTCTCACACAGACACGCACACGCACTCTCGCACACAGACACACACACTCACACAGACACACACACTCTCTCTCACACACACACACAGACACACTCACTCTCACACAGACACGCACACGCACTCTCGCACACTCACACAGACACACACACTCTCTCTCACACACACTCCAACATGCTCACACACACAGTCTCTCTCTCTCACACACACACACACACACACACACACACTCTCTCTCACACACACACACAGACACACTCACTCTCACACAGACACGCACACGCACTCTCGCACACTCACACAGACACACACACTCTCTCTCACACACACTCCAACATGCTCACACACACAGTCTCTCTCTCTCACACACACACACACACACTCACAGACACACACGCACTCACACAGACACACACGCACTCACACACACTCTCACACAGACACACACGCACTCACACACAGTCTCTCTCTCTCACACACACTCACATACTCTCACACACACACACACACACAGTCTCTCTCTCTCACACACACACTCCAACACGCTCACACACACAGTCTCTCTCTCTCACACACACGCACTCTCACACAGACACACTCACACAGACACACACACTCTCTCTCACACACAGTTTTTAGTGTTTTTTTTATAAAGTTTAATAAAACTACTTTTTAAAAACTTTGTAAAAAAATGTCAACATCAAAAATGATAAAACATCAAATATATCAAACATCCAATAAACACCATGAAAACTGAATAAAAGTATAAAAAAGAAAACAAATCTAAAGTATCTAAATGTTATAATAAAGCCATAATATCATAAAATAAAAGTATCATAAAAAAATGATATCAGTAAGTCTTTGTTTTTACTTCAACTCAAGCAAAATAATTCAAGCAATTTCAACCCTTTCATACGAGATTCAATTACATATTTTAAGTCTTAAATTTAAAATAATATAGGTTGAAATGACAAGATGAAGATCAGCAGCTGAACTCAAGCTTTAAGCTGAAATAGTTAGATTCTTTTTTTATAATATAAAAAAATCATAAAAGTATCATACAAATATAAAACAAGTTTATCAGCTGAGTGTTTGCATGTCAATTACAGACAATAAGATCCTATTTAAATATTTGAGTCTTTAGTGACATTTATTTTTAGAGACTTACAAAAGCAGTTTTTCAAAGAGCAACAATATTCATAATTTAGACTTTAGACTGATGAAGATGTTGATCAGTAATAATCATCTTCTGGAGTGTTGGTCTGCGAAAGTGCTTTACGGTTCCTCAAAACCTCCTGATGGACAGATGTGACACGAGCAGAGCTCAGTGGATGATCGTGTCGTTACACGTGTGTGTGTGTGTGTGTGTGTCGCACATGTTCATTACTGCGTTTGAAGTGCAGCAGATCACAGACTGAAGAACCATCTGGGACTAAAACACACAAACAACATCATGTGTGTGTGTGTGTGAGTGTGAGTTTAACAGGGTCAGTGTACGAGCATCACGTCTTCTGTTACTACACGACCAGTATGGAGTAAAACATAAAAATAAAGAAAAGACCAAGTCCATATTATAGTGTGTTTTCTAGGGCAGTGGTTCCCAAACCTGTCCTCACGGCACCCCAACACTGCACGTTTTCTTTATCTCCCTAATCAAACACACCTGATTCAAAAATGAGCTGATGAGTTGAATCAGGTGTGTTTGATTAGGGAGATAAAGAAAACGTGCAGTGTTGGGGTGCCGTGAGGACAGGTTTGGGAACCACTGTTCTAGGGCACGTGATCTCCTGTCCATGATGGTTGATCGGCGTATGAGAAGGTGTGTGTGTGTGTGTGTGTGTGTCCTCCTGAGTTCAGGAGCTTCGGTAACAATCACACACGAGTCCGAGACACAACATCACTGAGGCATTAGTGTAACAACAGTGTTTCAGTCGTTTCTGCAGGACACACACACACTCAAACATGTAAACATCAAAAATATAATAAAATAAACAGAAATAGAAATATCAAAAAAGAATCATAAAATATATAAAAATATGAGAAGTATCATTCAAACACAACCCTCACCGTCTGGACAGAACTGTAATGCTGGTGGTATTGGTGTTTCTGAAGGTTGTTCCAGAGCATCTGGAAAACATCAGCGAGTCTGTTATGAGAGCGAGTGTGTGTGTGTGTGTGTGTGTGTGTGAGGGAGAGATGGCAGCTCTTTATTTCTGGAGTCTGATTTCTTCTTGGATGCTGCTCGCTTGGCTTGGAAGCGGGACGAGAGAGAAGTGACGGTTTATGTGAGTTGGCCGAGCTCCGATAAACCAACAGAGGAGCGTCTGTGAGCCCGAGCGTCTCTTCTGGGTGGGCCAGCGCGTGCAGACAAACATCAGACAGACATCAGACAGACATCAGACAGACATCAGACAAACATCAGACAGACATCAGACAGACATCAGACAGACATCAGACAGACAACAGACAGACATCAGACAGACATCAGACAGACATCAGACAGACAACAGACAGACATCAGACAGACATCAGACAGACATCAGACAGACAACAGACAGACATCAGACAGACATCAGACAGACATCAGACAGACAACAGACAGACATCAGACAGACAT